CCAAGAAAATAGGTTTTTGTTTTGATATACAAAATGCAAAGAAAGGGAAAACTAACTAAGGGAAACTAACCTAGTACTATCCCTAGTGTTATCATACAATGGTTGACCCTAAAGTTGGGGATAAAGGAAAATCCTATCCTATGTTAGCATACATGGATTCCTACATTAATCAACATGTCAAAGGAAGCTTAACAAAACTATCCTATATGGAACATGCAATGAGAGCAAAGTCGTGATCTCAATATCTAAATTGAGTGACTCATCGATCAACAATTAAAGATGAAAAACAATAAACATCCTATAAGGAACATGCAATGAGAGCGAAGTCGTGATCTCAATATCTAAATTGAGTGACTCATCGATCAACAATTAAAGATGAAAAACAATAAACATCCTATAGGGAACATGCAATGAGAGCGAAGTCGTGATCTCAATATCTAAATTGAGTGACTCATCGATCATCGACAAACAAAATACATGCAATCAGACAAAAACCAAAACCAGAGGGCCTCCTGACATATATCAGCAACAGAGGTCCCATCATGCAATCAGAGAATTATGAAAAATGAAGATGAGAGCAAGGATGTGATATAATACCAAACAGATAACTATCTGTAGCAGTCAAGCAGGAATAAAAAGAAACCCAAAGAAACTTCAAGCAAGCTGGCACCACTAGACAAATTGGGTCAGCAATTGCACCATCAAGATGTAAGCAAATTATCAGATATGTATAAATCCCATGGGCAAAGTATGATATTCACAAATCATAGATGTGTGTATCCTGCATAAACCATCAAGCATGCCAAACAAAAAAAACAATGCCAATATAATAAACTGTGTTCCACAAATAAAGTGGAACACAAAAGCCCCAAGCCAAAAGTGGCAACCTTCTCAAAGTACCTCGCACATTCAACAACCAAGTTAGTATTCTAAAAGGTGAAGAAATGAGAATAATCATGGTGGCAATTACCAAACATTAGACATTATAAACAAGAAGAGACAAGCATTTCCACAGATTAGGTCAAAACAATCAGAGGAATATTGCTCTTTCCTATCACCATGTTGAATTGACAATTGAGTGTCAATCAAGAATCATAAGAGCTTGATAATAATATGAACAAGAACCATAAAGGTCAGTAGCAAACATATTTCAATCATGCACAATCAATTCAATCACAACTTCATGGATACAATAGGAAATGGACCCTACATAAAGCATTGGATGGTTCAAAATATTCAAACATGAGGCTTCTAAGTGAAATGGCTTGAGCTACCATGGACAAGTCAGAACCAACATGATCATTAGGTTCCCAATTATAGGCCTCACTCAAGTTCATTGGCCATCAAACAAATTGCAACAAGACATGCAAACATAATTGGGTACCTTCACTTCAAAATTACATCAAAAATGGAAACAAGGATCCATAAATCAAACAAAAAATATATCAACATCTTGGAAGTGTTTAGAAGTCAGAATGCAAGCCCAAAGTTCATGAGTGATTGGGGAAGAGGTCAAATGAAACTCAAAGTTCAAGACTAGTTGGCAAAACTACCAAACTAGATAAGTTTTCAAAATTATTTGTGGAAAAATATCAAACCAAGTCAAGTAATTCAAAAAAAATAGTTTTCAAATTCCCAACACATTTATGAACCAAGATCAAGACCTGAAATCCAATAAAAGTTCAAGGCACAAGGGTTTTGAACATGAAACTTGCATCATAAGCAACAAAAACCCTAGATTTTGACTTTTAATCCCAAATATTAATTAAATAGGATTAAAACTCAAACAAATCAAACCAAAGTCAAACCAAACACCAAGAAACTTTAAAAGTCAGAATATACATTTTTTCATATTTTTTTGAATTAAGAAAAGTCAAGAAAGAAAATAATATTCAAACAATTATGTAATTAACAAATATTCACATATCAAAATAATGTTTAAATCAAAAAGTCAGAAATATGCCCAACCAAAATTATATTCAAATATTAGGGTTAAAAACATACTTCCCTGAATATTTTGTGAATTTTTGGATAAAAGGAAAATATTAAAAAAACAAAAAAAACAACCAATTAATAGTGGAATTATTATTTAAAGGCAAGAAAATACAAACCATAACCTAAAATCATGAAATGGTCAAAGTAAAAATATATTCAGATTCTATGGTTAAAAACAAGATTACATGATTTTTTTTGGAATTTTTGCATTAATAGAAGTATTAAAAATAAAAATAAAAAACAAATATTAAAAAATAACCTTTGAAATTAAATTTTTAATCAAAAATAAGAAAAATGATGAACCAAGGTCAGAATCAATTTTCACATTATTTTTTAAGTCTAGAATTTTTTTTGTGGATTTTTTAGGTCAAAGGAACTATTAAAATAAAAATAAACTTTGAATGATTAATTAATTAAACCTAACAATTTTTTTAACCAATCAGATAAATCCAAAAAATATCAAGAAAATACACAAAGTCAGAAATATTATTTTGAATTTTTTCAGAATTTTCCAAGCATTTTTGAGCAAAAAAATAAATCATGAAAATCAAATTATAAAATAAAAATTCAAATGATTCAAAAATTCAAACGAACCAATCAGGATGTGCCAACACATCATCTTCAACCTCTGGCCATTCAAAAAACGCGTGCATGACTCAGGATTAGGGCTCACTTTCATATCAACACAACTCACTCAATTTCGCATCATTTTTCATGAAATCAAAGGCAAATTAAAGCTAGCATGGCAAGGAATACATATCAATTCAAATCAGATCAAATCATCAACTACATCATCCACAATCAAGTCATGAACATGAACAAAAACAATCTGAATCACGAGTTTCAGAACATTCAAACATACACAATTCATCAAATTAAACGCTATAAAGCTTCAGAATCATTCCATAGACTTCAAACAACATGATTATAAACTTAAATCACAAGAAGCATGGCTAGAAATCAGAATTCAAAGTTGAGAATTTGAACCTTTGAGAAAAAATGGATCTATTGTCTCCTTCACTCCAGTTGCAATCCAAGCTTCGATCTACAATCCTTGTCACTTGGAGAAGAGAATGCAAGAAGAATTGGCCAAAACGCGCGAGGGAGATAGAAGAATCGAAGAAAAATGTAGAGCTTCAAGCTATGGAGTTTCTGACTTTGATTGATGAAATGAGGCACGAACCCTTTACACTGAGGCTTGCTTCTCAATATATAGACCATTAGGAGGAGGGTAGAATGGATTTTTCGCGCTGAAAGCTCTTGGAATGAATGAAATTTCCTTTTGGCCCAAACCAAGCATGCACATGCAGCCTCTCATTTCCTCGTGTGTTGGATTGCTTTTTGCGTACATTCTAATCCATTTGCCCTCAAGAAGAGATTAGTATCAAGATTAGGACTTAAATCCTTGTATTAAGCTTGTGTGGGTGATTTGGCAATTTTGAACAAGTTTTGCATTTTTTGATCCAACATTGTGCAATATCATATGGGGCATGAAATAGTGGGTGTAATGGGCCTCAGCATGTCACAAATTACTAATGGTCTTGATTAGAAACAAGAGGAATGGCTAAAACTTGAGTTTGCAAGAAATGGCCATTTTGCACATTTGCCAAATTTTAAATGAAATGCCTCAAATTTCCAAAACTTACAACTTGCTCATACTTTTGAATTTTGGCACAAATGAACACAATTTGGAAAGGTCTTGAAAATATATACAAACCCTTAGTTTATAGTTTTTTCAAATTAATCCATTAAGGTTCTCAAAATTTGGCTTGAAATTCAATAATTTTGAAAAATGACCTATAACTTTGTAACTTCAAAAGACCATAACTCTTGATTCCTTGCCAATTTGAATATGAGACCAAAAGGAGGTGAAATATCATTCTCTTAGCTTTCCAAGAATATTTCATTTGCATCTTCTTGATCAAGGATGAATAAAATATGATTTTTTTGAAATTAAGTCCTTATTTTCAAAATTAGAAACTTTTAGGGTTTCTTCAAGAACAAGTTTCAATCCAAACTTCAATCTCTTTAATCCAATGACCAAAATGGACTTGAAATATGAAAAGCACATCCTTGAGTTGATGGTTGACCAAAAGTTCACTTGGTCAACTTTGACTTTGACTGATTTGGACCAAAATGACAATTTTGCCCCTCTGAATCAATTGATCCATTTCTCTTCAAAATTAATGATCAAAAATTCAAACATATGACCTTCCAAACATATAGAGGCCATGTGAAAAGTTTCACTTCAAAATTCTCAAGAAAACCTGATAAAAACCAAAACCCTAATTTTGGTCAACTCATTAGGAGACTGATAAATCATCTTCAAAACTTCAAATCCTCTAGGGGACTTGATCAATTCTTTGTGAAAAGACCTTTAAAATATTAAAGGAATGTTGTTGCCTTGAAAATTAACATTTGTACATTGGCCAACAATCTTGCTCAAGCAAACCCTAATTTGGCTGATGAATCCAAAGAGTGATTCCCCTTGTGATCAAACACAAACTCCAATCCTCTGATGATCCAAAAAGATGGATGAAGCATCTTGAGACATGCAATAACTTTTGAGCTTGAAAGGTTCAAAGGTTTAGATAATAAGATTCTTCTTTAACAAATTGTTAATGCCATCATCCTTCAAAGCTTGGGGAAAACCTGGTAACCAAAGTACTTTGATCCTATCATAATGTATGAATGCAATGTAATATGATATTCATGACGAAACATAAACCTAAATCAAGAGGGTAAATTTTGGGGTGCAATAGAGGGCAAATGGTTGATATTTCCCGTCGGATAGCAGGCAATTCGGGTCGCGGACATGCGGGCTGTACCAAAGGAAAAGGTCCATACTGGGCCCATTCAAAATGTCGGGCTAGTCCATAACACATACCAATGTTTTTCTTTTTAATACTCAAATTATCATAGGTTAGAGAGGTAACACAAATATGTGTATGGAGGATATGAGACTCTACATGTTTAACTAATTGACAAATACAATATTATCCATATTACAAGGTAGCATGAGTTCCTACTTGGTACAGAAAACTAGTGATGCGGTAGTAGATTGCTTCTGATTGTAGAGTTAGCATATTACCAAAACCAGATTCATCAATAACGGGAACATTGGGAGGACAAATGTCTAGGACATCTTTCCCAATAAATAACTTGTAACTAAAATTCAGAAACCCGTGAGAAATACCATTATTCTTAACTACAAATTCCTTTATCAACTTAGGATAACCATATCTAACATTTAGCAATGTCTTCAGCAACTGAGCATCACTAAGAAGCTCCATAATTTCATTATATCTTTGTGCTTCAACAACATGTTCTTTTCAAAGAATCGTTATCCTATTATGAGCAACATTTCTTTTCTTCCTAGTTTATTTCTTACTAACAACCACATATTTCTTCTTCTTTTTGGATATATTCTTTTCCTTGGTAGAAATATGGATCTTCTTGGAATGAGTCCTTTTAGCCTTTAACACAACCTTTCTATTTCCCACCTTTTTCTTTGACTACTTATCAGACCTTTTACTAAAGCCAACATCTTTAATTACACCTTCATTTACAGGAGCATGCTTATCATGAACTTCATTTTTCTTAAGGATAGAACCCTCATCAGCACAAACAAAATTAGTAATAACATCATCAATATTGTCACTCACATTACTTACCATATCATTCACTTCAGAATTAACAGGGGCAACTTTCCCATTCTTCCTCTAAGTTGGAAACTTAGTCCCTAACATGTCATACAGGATGTCTGGCACATCCTGGTTGACATCTTCATTACCATCTTTAAAGACATTAATATTATAACCAATATCTTTAGTAATCTTATCACTGGAGGGAACCTTGTTTAACCCTACAGACTTTCTTCTGCCCAAGTAGTCATTAACAATGGAATAAAACTTCACACACTTTCCTTTATCATACACATTTATATATTATTTTCTACCTTCCTTCAACATTACACTCAGAAATAATAATCACAATGAACTCTTTGACTAGTCTTTCATAGCAAGGATCAATATTAGTAAATGTCTTTATTAATCCAACAATTTCCATGATTTCTTTACAAAGCTTCTTTACCTAACTCTCTCTTACTGTCATACCCTAATTTTTGACCTAGGATCCCACTTCCTTTTGCATCATTTCATAAAGGGATCACCTCGTTCATCTTTGCATCACTAACAAAATACAAAAAAAAGGATATCTTGTTGTGCTTGCTTCTTGTGTAAGACAGGGATTTTGAATCAAGAAACATTGGAAGTACAAATGTTGATCAGATAGGGTTTTAAATTAGCCCTCATGATTCAAGATTTACTTTCATTCATAGTGATCAAGTAATTCCCTCCATCAACATTCAAGTTTTTATATCAAACCAAATTCATCAAGACTCAAAGTATTGTGTGATACGGTAGGAGAACTGACTTGGGTGTTTTGCGTTTGATCGCAATTATGTGGATAGCAAGAGTCGCCACCGACTTTTCTTTTATCCAAAAGGAAAGGCTGAAAAGAACGGGAAAGACCTTTAGGTAAGTTTTCTTGAGTTCGGGGGGTAGATTATGAAAAGGGAAGGTATTAGCACCCTTTTCATTCGTAGTTATCTACGGGCTCTTAGTTTCTTTCTAGATCACTTGCTTTTGTTTGAATGTGCTTGCGGTGTGGGTTTCGAAAGTATTTTAAAAATGTGACTTTGTAATGGTTCTCGTTTCTATAAGAACGCGTACAAAGTGTTGCTTTGAAAATAGTTCAAAGAGGTGTTTGTGGAGTGTGTTTTTTGAAAGTGATTTTAAAAAAGGTGACTTTATAATGGTTCTCGTTTCTATAAGAACGCGTACAAAGTGTTGTCTTTTGAAAATGTTTCAAATGAGTGTGTTGGTGCATAAAATGTTTTTATTGTGAGAAAGCGAGCAACTAGGAGCGAACCTACCTACTTAAAAGGTCTTAAATGTTCTTTTCCTCCTCCTTTAGATGTTACAATGTTACCATTGTTTTGGTGAGAAGCCCCATCGTTGGATGTAAAGGGACGGGCGTGGGACGTTTGTATCGTCATAGAAGGCAACCTATGGGACGTTTTAGCAATGTCGTTTATGGACTAGATCATTTACCGAAGGCAACATCGAGGGTCATCGAGGGACTATGATCTTTTATCGAAAGTCTTTGCTAAAATACCCATGTTCGAGGGGCATGACTATTTTTCCGATAAGCAACAAGTGAGATTATCCTAAGGGGTGCATGTGTGCAAAGTGTATTTGATTGCATGCGTTTAGTCTTTGATTTTTTGGTTGTCTATTTGTTGTTTTTATCTTGCCATATACACCTAATTACTAGCAATATATGAAAGCAATTAAAATTCGGAAAAGTAAAATCCTACGTTATTACATCATTAAGGGGATGAGGTGTACAAATTTACAATGGGGATTGCGATAAGTTAAAGTGCTAGTTATCTATTACAACCATATTGAAATAATATACAAGAAATGTAAAATGGACTTGTTTTGTTTAAGTAAAGAAATAAGTTTACTTAAGAAAATATTTTGATCTTTTTGTTCTCAAAGAAATAAAATAAAACATGTGAATATGAAATGTTTTTGGTGTTTTTGGTTATTAAAAGCTAAAGTAAGATAAATAAGAGAAAAAGGAGTCCGAATCAGCACATTGTTGAAACGAGAAGGAACAGAAGTTCTGACTCTAATACGCTGCAAGAGATAAAATGATAGTAGGAAAGTAGAGGGTCAGAAGTTCTGGCCCTGGGTACACCAAGTTATGAGGTTGCTGGGAATAAAGGAAAACCTAGAAGTTCTGATTGTTAAAGGGGTTCAGAAGCTATAGTGTAGCTGAGAACCTAGAAGTTCATACGTCACTGGCAGATCAGAAGTTCTGGCTATTTGAGAGAGTGAGGTGATAATGTTGTTGGCTGAGGTTGTCTAGAAGTTCTGATCAAGGAGTATTGTTTGACAGATAAATGGGTGAAAATGTCACTAAATAACCCTAAAAATATGCTTCTAGGGTTAGAATATAAGTATGTATCACAAAGTAAACTCTGATGATGAATTCCCTTTCTTTCTCCATGCTAATCAGAATATCTACAGCTTAGTCAAATCTCAACGGAACAGAAAACACAGACATAGCAATTATGGCAATTTTCCATCATGGTTTCAGAAGCATAAAAAATGTCAAGACTATAAATCAGAAACAAGCATGTATCTGCTAATCCTAGTTTCCTTAAGAAGTTTTGAACTGATATTCTCCTTACTTAGGAAGAAAATATATGAAACTTCAGAATATGTACAGCATCGGAATCAGGATGTCTACATTGTATTTTGAACATGCAAATCTAACAATGCCTAAGTAATATGATGAGGGTCAGCAGAAGCTTACCTTGCAGCTGGAAAATGTTCTGTGAGCTAGAGCTTGGTTCTGACTGCTTGTAATGTTCTGATCAGCTTCCTTGCATACTCAGCAGGCTGGAATAACCTTTATCTTGGGCTATGAATGGCTGGAAAATTATGGAACAGCCAAGAAGCAATATTCTGACCTTTTGAGGTGGAGACTGATGAAGAACGTGTTACAGCCAGAAAACAGAAGTTAGGACAGCTTCTAAATGTATATCAGAAGCTGTATAGATGGTTTTGTCAAGAAACACTTGAGGAAATTGGAGATTGAATGCAAGAATCAAACACTAACAGATTTTGTATTTGTGTTTCTAGTTTCGGATTTCTGGAAATTTTAGCAAGGTTTCAAGGCTTTTTCTTTTTCAATTTTCGACCCCTTCACAGTTGCAAATGAAGTTCAATTTATAGGCAAGGATTTTTGTAGCTTGGATAAGTCAAGAGTACAACCATCATGCTAGGGTGCTGACTTGTTCTTGAAGCAAGTTAAACAAGTATGGTGGTGTGATACGGTGGGAGAACTGACTTGGTTGTTTTGCGTTTTATTGCAAATGTTGCGGTTAGCAAGATTCGCCACCGACTTTTATTTTATCCAAAAGGAAAGGTGAAAAATCACAGGAAAGACCTTTGAGATGTTTTCTTGAGTTCGGGGGGTAGATTATGAAAAGGGGAGGTATTAGCACCCTTTTCATCCATGGTTTTCCATGGGCTCTTAGTTACTTGCTAGATCACTTGCTTTTGTTTGACAATGTGCTTTGTGTAGTTTTTGAAAGTATTTTGAAAAGGTGCCATCGTTTAGGAAAGCTTTGTAACGATTCTCGTCCGTAAGAATGTATACAAAGTGTTTGATCTTTTGAAAATGTTTTCAAGTTTGAAAAAAAATTTGAAAGTGTTGGTGTTTGTTTTGAAAATAGTAAGGATGTTTTGTTTTGAAATTGAGCAAGTAACTAGGAACTTTCCACCTACTCAAAAGTCTTTCATGTTCATTACCTTTTTCCTTTGACATTGTTATCTTACCATTGATTTGGTAAGTAACCCTATCTTTGGATTAAAAGGGACGGGCGTGGGTCATCGTATAACCATGATTAGAAATGTTGTAAGGTATCTTAGCATTTTCTTTAGGGACTAAGATCATTTTGAAAGGCAACATGGATAGTGTCATCGAGGGACTATGATCTTGTATTTCATTTGTTTTTTCTAAGATATCTCACATGCGTAATATGGTCATTTTTGTAAGGAAACAAAGTGGGTTTACCCTTGGGGTGCTTGTGTGCAAGTTTATTGATTTTCATGCTTGATTTATCTTTGATTAGGGTTTACTATTTGTTTATTTTAGTCTTTCCATACAAAACCCTAATTACTAGCATTTATATATAAAGCGATAAATTGAGGAAAGTAAAAAATTACTACGCTATTATATCATTAGGGGAAAGGGTATACAAATTTACAAATGGGGATGACAAGTAAAGTACACCCGAATTACTATTACAAGGCTTTGACAATTACATAATTTATAATTCAAAAAAAGTAAAATATGCAAGAAGATGTAAAGTCAGAGAAATTGTTTTTTAGGGTTTTTTTATAGAAAAGGTTATGTAATTAATTTCATTGAAGAAAAACCTAAGTCTAAGTTAAAAAGAAAAACTAATTGTTTAGAAAAATATTTTTGAGGTTTCATTTGAAAACAAAGGTTTTATAAAGTTAGGTCATTTCCAAGCAATGCAATATGTCCAAAATAACCTAAAAATCTCCAAAATCAAGAAATTTGGTGCCCGAGCTGACACGAGCCATGTCAGTGGACACGGGCACCCGTGTCAGGACCTGTCCATAACTTTTCTGCATTTTTTGGTTCCAGCCAATCTTACACGTCCGTGACACGGGTGCCCGTGCCAGCCCCTGTCCATATTTTTTCTGCTCGTGTACGCACCAGTAACGTTGACACGGGTCGTGTCATGTGACACGGGCACCCGTGTCAGCCTCTATCCATGCACTTTACTATGTTTTTCAACCCAACTAAGCTGACACGGGCCGTGTCGTGTGACACGGGCCGTGTCGTGTGACACGGGCCGTGTCGTGTGACACGGGCCGTGTCGTGTGACACGGGCCGTGTCGTGTGACACAGGCACCCGTGTCAATGTCTGGTCTGGCTTTTTGGTAGTTTTTTCTCTTTTATCTGTCTTGTTATATCTTTTGAGCACAATAGCAAACGATGTATAAACAATGATATCACAGTTTGAGAAAGTTTACCTCTCAAAGCGGAAGCTTTAGAACACGTACGG